AAAAAAAAAAAAAAAAAAATTAGTCTGCTTAACCAAATTTTATCAGCTGTTTGATTTACAGACTAAAAACGGAATTGAACACAAATGAATTCTGTAGATTTAAAGAAACTGCAAGGCCAGGCATGGTGGCTCACACCTGTAATCCCAGCACTCTGGGAGGCTGAGGTGGGTGAATCATGAGGTCAGGAGTTTGAGACCAGCCTGGCCAACATGGTGAAACCCCCATCTCTAGTAAAAATACAAAAGAAAATAGCTGGGTGTGATGGCAGGCACCTGTAATCCCAGCTACTCAGGAGGCTGAGGCAGGAGAATTGCCTGAACCCAAAAGGCAGAGGATGCAGTGAGCCGAGACAGAGCCACTGCACTCCAGTCCAGGTGACAGTGTGAGACTCCAACTCAAAAAAGAAAAGAAACTGCAAAGGTATTACCCTATTTTAAGATGGTCCACTTCCTAAAACTATACTCGAGAACCAAGAATAAGGGTTATCTTTAGTTCTGTATGTGGACCAACAAGTAGTCTACTTTGATTAATCAACTACTGGTTAGCAGTGATGATGAGCTACAGAAGCACTACTAACCAAAAGCCATTTCATTTTGTAATCTAATTTGGTTATGAGTTGACATCAAATGCTTTTATTAAGTAAAAAACATTCAAGCCAGGTCACCTTTATTACCTCTACTCTCAAAAACATGTCCCTGAGGTGAGAGGAACATCACTTCCTGAAGTCAATCCTGCTTCCCAAATTGTCCACATGCTTTCCTTCCATGCTCTCAAACAGGCAGAGAGATACTAGTCTCTGAGTGGGTGTGACTGTTAGGAGTCCACAGCTGTTTGGCCATTCCCATTCATAGTTGTTGTTAAAACATTTATTTTTCTGGTAAGACATGGCATCTTGCTCAGTCATCCATGATGAGTGCAGCAGTGCCATCGAGGCTCACTGCAGCTTCAAGATCCCTGAATCTCAGGTGTCCGAGTAGCATGCGTTGGCACGCCTGGCTATTTTTCCTCTTTTGAGACAAAGTCTTGCTCTGTCCCCCCATAGGCTAGATTCTAGTGCAGTGGTGCAATCTCAGCTCGCTGCAACCTCCGCCTCCCGGATTCAAGCAACTCTCCTGCCACAGCCTCCCACGTTACTAGGATTACACGCGCATGCCACTGTGCCTGGCCTTTTTTTCTTTTTTAAAACAGGGTCTTACTATGTTGCCCAGGCTAGTCTTGAACTCTAAGGCTCAAGCAATCTTACTACTTTGTCCCCCAAAGTGCTGGGATTACAGGCATGAGCCACTGCAATCGGCCTAGGACAGAATTTTAAAGCTAGAAGCCATTGTTCAGAGTTGGTGAATTGGTTTTGAGTCCCAAGGGCTGGTACGGCTGGTAGCAGGTGCCTGGAACGCCATGTTGAGAAGTGTTCTGTGGCTCCATCTGGTATTGCTGGAAGTGTGTGAGCATGTTCTACATTCATCACATATCTCACGCCAATACTCATCTAGTCAAATCCTGAACATGTCATAGAGCCAGTGAGCGTTAAAAGCTGAGTCACCTAATTCTCACTTCAGTATCATAACCCAAAACTCACAAATCTGATCTGATCCTTCCAAAGAAACATACACGCCCACTTTCAGAGGCATTTTCAGAAAGTGTAACACTTCCAAAGACAATGCAGTAAGTGGTTTCACCAACAGAACTACACCTAGCCTCAAGCAATGCAACATACATGTTTCAGCCTAGGAAACCTTCTTCTTCTTTGAGACAGAGTCTCGCTTTGTCACCAGGCACCAGGCTGGAATGCAGTGGTGCGATCTTGGCTCACTGCAACCTCCGCCTCCCAGGTTCAAGCAAATCTCCTGCTTCAGCCTCCAGAGTAGCTGGGACTACAGGTGCACACCACAACGCCAAGTTAATTTTTGTATTTTTAGTAGAGATGGGTTTTCATCCTGTTAGCCAGGATGGTCTCGATCTCCGGACCTCATGATCCGCCCGCCTCGGCCTCCCAAAGTGCGGGGATTACAGGTGTGAGCCAACATGTCCGGTTGTAAGAAACATTCTTAAAGGAACCAGAGCCAAAATGGACAACAAACTTTGTTTCTAACCCCCTACCACCACCAAAAGCAAATTTAAAACTATCTTATAATGCTCATATCACACTTATTTGTTCTCTTCTCCATCCCTGCTCAACAATCTACCAGGGATAAAAATGATTCTTTAGAGACACAATCAAATTTCCTTTAAAATCAACAAATGTAATAAATTTGGGCTTTTGTGTTTAAAGTAAACATTAACACATACATACTCAACATCACAATTAAGTTTAGTAAAATACTCTAGTTAAAGTGTTTGCAATGAAATTTTTTTTTTTTTTTTTTTTTTTT